GGGGGAAGATGGGAATGTCGTCAACACCAAGTCTTCGTTACAAGTCCCAGATAACCCCTCGTCAAATGTCTGAAGTCCAATGTCGAGTCTGGATCCAAATGTCACCAAGCCCGCTCTCTCATAGTCTGCTGATGCAGTGAAGTCAGATAGCGAGAGGGTGAGAGGGAGATGGTGGACTGAGAAGAGGAAGAAGAAGAACTCTCTCTCTCTCATGTGCCAGGTGCTAACCTGTGTAAGTGGCGCTGTGCTGCAGGTACCTCGAAGACGAAGCTGGAGCTATGTCGCTGCAGGTAAGTCTCCCTGGCCTCCGCCCAATCTCTCTCTCTCCCCAGTACTGAAGACTACTGCTAACGCTACTGGCGCCCAGCGCTGAAGACTACTGCTAACGCTACTGGCGCCCAGCGCTGAAGACTACTGCTAGCGCTACTACTACTCCTGCAGCGCTCCTCCAGAGTGCTGCTGCCGAATCCTGAAGACTACCTCCTGCCCCCTGAACTGCACGTGAAGTGCCTGGGAAGTACCTAGGAACTACCTGCAGCCTGCAGGGCGGGCCAGTCCTATATAGTGCTGGCCCGTCCAGGAGGCTGCTCTTGCCAATGCCAAAACGTGCCAGACCCTGGCGTTGAAGCTCGACCAAGGGTTGTCTTGAAAACAGGCCCAAAATGGCCTGTGCTAAAACCCTGGTTTGGTGCCTGAGTTTCAGGGCAGGTCGATCTTACGAGGGCCTGAAAATGGCCCTCAGTTTCAGGCTGAAAAGACTCAGGGACGGAAAGGCCCTGATTTAGGCTGAAACGACACAGGGCCTGTAGGCCCTTGTTTTCAGGCTTTCGGGCTGAAAACGACACGGGCCTGAAAATGGCCCGTGCAGCCTGTTGCAGGCGCAGCATGTAACAAAAAAACACAGAAAGAAAAAAAATAGTCCTTACACCTCCAGACACATTCCTCAACAGTGAGTCCATTTGTTTTCTTTTCCTTTTTTTTTTTATAAAGGAATTACAAATCTTTATAAAAACCGGGAACCAGGCCCGGCGTCCCTTACAAAATTTGGTGGGGCCCTCAGCGGGCAAGGCATCACCGGCCAAGCACATCTAGGGCACCATTAGATTTCACCCCACAGACAACTCCACAACAACTCCACAGCCCCTACCACTGAAAAATCAACCAAAAAAATCAGCAAAATCTAAATTCCTCACCAAAATCACCCCACAGACAACTCCACAACAACTCCACAGCCCCTACCACTGAAAAATCAACGAAAATTATCAGCAAAATCTAAATTCATCACCAAAACAACTCTAATCACAACAGTCGTGACAACTCTGATTAGTGACCCTAATTCCACCAATCATGAAAAGAAAACCATACTCAAAAGGCATTCAAAACCACAAAAAGGAACCAGCGGTCTGCGCTGGTTGATCATGTCCTCTATTCATCCAGAGTTACTACCAACCCCTGCCAATCTGCTGGGATCTGTGCCCACAGGCCCCAAACTGCTGACAGAGACCCCACAAAACCACCCATCTCCTCGTGATTCAAAGAGGACAGCACCTCAACACACTCTTCATACAAAAACACCAACTCCCACCACGATGCTGTTTTCACTAACCAGGGGATTACCCTACCTCCCGTGTGGCAGGGGCCAAAAAGCCCCGCAAAACCCACCCACCTCCTCGCGATTTAGGGTAAGGCCCTCCCTCAATTCTGCATACACCCCCTACCGATGCTTCCCCTCCCTCCATGACGAAGCCCCAGTGGAGCAATGCTCACCATTTTACCTCAAGAATTTAGATGACAGCAGGACACCAGCCTATTAGGATGAAATGAATCCCTGATCCAAATTCAACATCTCAGTGGTAATACCCTACCTCCCACGCGGCAGAGGTCGAAGACCCCGCAAACCCACTCACCTCCTCGTGATTTAGGGAAAACCACTTCCACTAATCTGCACCTTCTCACAAGGAAACCCCGCCACCCACCATAATGGTGTTTCTACAGAGCGACACTCTCTCTTTCATTTCATCGCATGCAGAAACGCTGCACAAAAATCACAACAAATTACGACAACTATTACCCAAACGGCAAACAAGAAAAACACCAAAAATCACACAAATTGCTTCAATCCTAGTCTAAAACAAAAATCAAACTATAGCTGAAGACCCAACACTCGCACATGCCGTTCTCTCTCTCTCTCTCTCTCTCTCTCTCTCTCTCTCTCTCTCTCTCTCTGGCCCTAACATGGGCCACGACAGGTGAGCGCACCCAATCCACGAAGTGATGTGTGCTCCTGGAGATCGTAAGCGAAATTCCCACGTGCCCCCGCTGTGCAGCGAACATGAGAAGTCCAGCAGCAATCTCCCGTAGCTCCTGTCTCCCTCACCATCACGGGCTGACCCTGAGAACGGTGTCAGGGCAGGAGACCCTCGCAAAAACCTCCATATCAAAGATTGAGGAGCATAACCCCCGATCGGTCTCGTCAAGTATGGTGCAGCGTCCGGATCCCACCCACTGATGGCCCCCACATATCACTCTCTCCTTCCTCCATCGAACTAGGATTCCTGACAGAAGTCAAGTGAGACCAGCAATGACCAGGAGCATGTCACGGCTCCCTCGGTAAGCCCTGCTAACACCCCAGTGTTCTTCCCTGCACCACCATGGTCATGCCAGCGCCAAGTTTTGGCAGTCGAAGCAGACAGATTTCGTCGGCCCCGTGAGCGATCCCCCAACGCCCGAACGCCGCCACTGAGGCGGCACGTTAGCGCAGCGTTAACACTGCGGTAACGCGCCGCCAGTCCAAATACATTTCCGAGTGAGTCCATTTCAAAAGGATTGCTACAACAGAATCCATTTCAGACCAGGCATAGGGGAAAAAAAAAAAAAAACAACCCAAGAGAATGATTGAAAGAGAAAGAAAAAGCATGGTCATCCCATCATCAATCCAACACACAGGCCAACGGAAAAATGAAAGACCTCCTGCTAACGCGGACAAACCACCAGTACACATTCCCTGCCTTGCAGAAATTTGTTCATCGCCTACTCTCAAAATTCCACGGCTCGGGCCTACCAGACCACAATGGCTGGCGGTGCCATCCAAAAAAGCAAAAAGTGTGCCCGTGGCGCTTCACAAAAGCTTGGCACGCAGTGCAGCGACTCCAGGCCCACGTGTACTGGTGGTTTAAACTCCTGAGGGCCTCCCTCAGGCTCCTCGTGCTGCTAATCGTCATTGCATGAAGAAGAAGAAGAAGAAGAAGAAGAAGAGGAGGAGGAGGAGGAGGAGGAGGAGGAGGAAGCAGAAGCTGAAAACGAAGACGAAGACGACCAAGAAGAAGAAGAAGAAGAAGCTTTGTTCTGCCGTGAGGAATAACCCCATGGCAACTTCAGTGGGGGCCCAAAATTCTGAAAAACAAAATAAAAAAATTCTGTAAAAGTACTAAAAAGTTAAAAACAAAAATCTTGTCCAGAATTGCAATGCGACCAACTTTTGGCTGAGGGTCACTTCAGAATTCCTTATAAACTCGAAATAAAAAATAAAAACCGAAATACACCCCTTGGAAGTCAAAACCCCTTTCATTCAACCCCCTTTAAAACCCGTGTATACCCCCCTCCCCGCCCTTTCAAACCCATGTATCATACTTGCGGCGCCCTGATGCGGTGCGCTGAGCGGGGCGGTGTCAAGTGCATCGGTCCCGCACGAGGACCCTCCCGGCCGCGTCACGCAGGATTTGGCAGGACTTGTCACGGAGAGCGTTAGCCGCTCCGGCCGAGTGCGCCAGCCGTACCTCTCGCGAGCCCCTACGACAGGACAGGGTTACGCGAGGCACCGCTTACCTCCACCTACGGGAGCTGTCACCATCCCTTAGGTGGGGGTATCCCCGCCGAGCTACTAAACCACATGCGAAAGCTTTTCGTATGCAATTGCAGAGGTGGCCCAGCCGAGGGCGTTTCTCGCTCGCTGTAGCATAGGGGGTCGCGCCTGGCTAGCACACTCGGCCGGAGCGGCAAACACTCTCCGTGACAAGTCCTGCCAAATCCTGCGTGACGCGGCCGGGAGGGTCCTCGTGCGGGACCGATGCGCTCGACAGCAGTGCGCTGTGCGAGGGGCGCACATTTTGCAGCGAGCGCACTGTGCGCTGTGCGCTATGCGCTGTGTGCTGTGCGCTCGGTGCGCTGGGCTTCGCGGCCTGTGCGCTCGGTGCGCCAAATGAAAATATGCCCTGCATTTATCTTGCACAGGGAGATATAGAGGAAGAAGAGGAGGAAGAAGAAGAAGAGGAGTGGGAGGAGGAGGGGGAGGAAGAGGACGAGACAGACGAGAAAGATATGGTGGAGGAGGAAGATATGGAAGAAGATGCGGAGGGCGAGGAGGAGTAGAAGTAGCTGCACCAGCAAAAAAAAAACAAAAAAAAAAAACACGTGCCGCGTGGCACGTCAACGTGAGAGTACGATAAGGAGGATGAGGAGGATGAGGAGGAGGAGGAGGAGGAGGAAG